ATATTATAATAAAATTTTATCATATATTTCATGTTTGTATTTGAATTATTAATATTGACAAGTATTTAAATTAGTATATAAATAAGTAACAATTTACAAAAGAATTATAATTTCAATCAGTACTATAAAATATGCTCTTGATAGCATCATAATATATTATATATAATTAAAAAAGGTATGTATTAATCTTATAGTATGTATTCAATGATTATGTATACAACTAAAGATAGTTTTTAATGTAATTCAATATCAAAATATTGCATTATTTTCATTTCTTTCATCTTCAGCTTTAGCAGCTAAACTTTCTAAGTCTCCTTCACCACTAAATCTTGCTTGTGCAGATTCAGTATGACTTACTACTTCACCTTGACCTTCTTCATTTTCTTCTTCATTTTCAGGAAGCTACATAATTCATATATTTTGGACATATTTTATTTTATTTAAAATAAAATAACTTTAAAATATATGTTTAAAATACCTGTTGATTACCAGAAGATTCGGGTCTTGACTGATCTGCTTCTGCTAGATCTTCGTTGTAACCTGGTTTAATAGATGTTAAAGGCAGAATACCTGCAGAATCAGCTGAAGATGTTCCCTATAAAATATATGAAAAAAAATAATAAATTTTTGTTTTCTTTAAATATTTAAAAATATATTATGCTCACAATAACACTTACTGGCATATCTAAATGATCTATTAAAGGTATATGTGCTGTGGGAGATGAAGTTCCTGCTTGAGATGATACAAATAGTTCTGTTATAGAATGATTTTCTGTTCCCATACCTAATACTACATCTACCTCGGAATCTTCATCACTAGATTGACAACTTTCACTGGCAGTTTGATCAGTTGTTTCATTCTATAAAAATATATATATTATAAATATATTGTAAAATTATCAAGAGTATATATATATATATATATTTATTACTTAATATTTGATTATATTGTTATGAATATACAAACCAATGGATTGCTTAGAGATTGTGTATCTTGTAAAGCACGCAATGATCTCCATAAACGGGGTCGCAATCTATGATCTTCGCTTATGGCTTTAATTTCTCTTAATATAATAACGAGATAATCGGGCCGATTTTTATTCACATGTATGAGTGAACTTAGTACTTCTTTCATTTCAGAACTACATAATAAATTTTATAGAAACTTAATTTTATTATATATTTTTTTTAAATTTTTCTTTCTGATAAAAAATTAATTCAAAAAAATATACCTTAAATTTTGAAATGGATTATCATCATTTATTACAGATGGTAATCGAAATGATGAATGTGTATCTTCCCAAAGATTATCAACTTGTTGTTGTTCATTTGTTAAGATATTACTACGCATAACAGTATTTTCTCTTTCTTGTTGCTGCAAGTTAGACTGTAGTTGTAAATTTGAGGAATATTGTGTTTCTGCTACACTTAATCCAGGTAAAGGTATATTATCAGTTCCTTGATCTCGATTACGTTTATCCTTCCTTTTGTTAACAATATGTTAAAATTTGCATTTAATTTTTACAGATAAAATAGTTCTTAGAAACAATTTATATAGTTACATACATAAGAGAAGTATTAACACTTGATATAGTATTTCCAGATGTATTTGCAATGGGTCCAGAAGTAGTATCAGTCATTGTTTTTATATTTCCAGAGAGTAAATTTTGTCTGGAATAACTGAAAATATAGTAAAAAAATATATATTTATCAAGTCAAATACAAAATTTTATTCAAACTATTCATACCATGCTTGAAAAAATAAAACATATGATATAATCAAAATGATAAAAAAACAATTTTGAATATATGGTTTAAAGAGATAAGATGAAACACAACAGATATCACAGAAAAAAGAGTTATGATTATTATATTGAATGCTTATTATTAGTTAAAATATTTCAAATTCTCAAACATATATTACATACCCATAATTTACGTACCAATATACTATCCTCATTCTTATTTACTAATCTTTGGTTTACAGATTCAGTAATCAAATTAATATTGGTTTTTTGTGATATAGCTTAAACGAGGGTAGTAATAAGTAAGAAATACAATAAAAAAAAGTGCAGAGATAGATCGTGAAGTTTATTACTTTATGTAATGATACATTAGATTTATACAAAGATGGGAGATGAATATGCACAAGATTTGAATATAAAATTACCTATAGTCATAAAAAATTTTTTTTAATGATATTAAATTAAAAAGAAAACATTAAATAATTTCACATAGAGAAAGAACTACAAATTTAAAATTCATAAATCATAAAATAAATATTCTAAAATTTTTTCAAATACATCTTTGTACTAAATGATTACATGCTTAAAAATCTCGATTTAATGTATGATGTAATTTATATTAATCGTTTCAATAACACTTCTACTGCACTAAGACAAATAAGATTCATGTCATCATTAACATATACATATATATATTATTACCTTCTGAAATTATCCCAGTAATTGTTTGCTCTATTCCCAGGAGGAACTTGATTATTCAGTTGTTGTTGCTGATGTTGAGAATTAACGGAAGATGTCGTAGCAATATGAGATAATGCAGGAGAAGAATTTGGTAATGATACCAGATTTGGTAAAGATGAACTTGGTGGTAATGCAGAATCTAATGTTTCACCAAGATGATGAATATTGCGACTTAAATTAGAATATTCATCGTTATTTTCGCTATTGTTTCGCTCTTGTGATTGTGTTTGTCTTAAATGAGATTGTAATTGAGTAATAGCTACACGCATAGCTTGCAATTCTCGTTGCTGAGACCACAATAGTTGACAACATTGTTGTATTGTAGTACCCATCATTTGAAGTTGTTGCGCTTGAGAACCTAATAAAAGTTGTCGATAATACTCTGTTGAGCCTATAAAATATATTTAAAAGTTATAATATTATATAAATATTAAATAATAATATATATATATTTTTTATCATATATATATTACCATGTTGTAATTGACTTAACGGAGGTGGTGGGTATGTCCACCAATTTCCACTGAATCCATTTTCAATTGCCGTCGTTTGAGGTCCAATATCCATTAAATTTTCCGAAGATACGCCATCTACACTCTGATCATTAGATCCACCTATATATCAAAATATAACTTTAATTATATTAAATATATCTATAAATTTTCTTATATTTTAATTACCCATTGTTGCCGAAGGTGGCCAAGCATTAGCAGGAGTACCTATATGACTAATATGTGAACTAGAACTTCTATGACTACTTAAATCATTTGGTCCTCCTATATCTCGATTGATATTTATTTGAGATGATTCCTATTTTTCAATAAAATTTAAATAATAAGGCAAATATTGAATATTATTTTTTGCATATAAAAATTTTAAATAAATACGTGAAATTTAAAATAAATACTTTTCGCACAATATCATCGATTTGACGTCTTTTTTCCTGAGCAGATTGAATTTCATAATTACTAGTATTACTTTGTTTTTTATCAGAGCCAGTTGATGCTGTAAGTGATGGCGGAGGAGTTGAAGTTGAAAATACAGATGTTGAATTAGAATGCATTGCTGATAAAGGTTGCTTTATTCGTTGTAATTCTGCCCTAGTAGTTTGTAATAAAGCTGATTGCTCTCGAAGTTCTCGTGTAACAGCCTGTAAAGAGTTTTTATTTATTAATTTATAGAAATATAACAATATAACATGTAGTTTTGATTTATATTTATACTTGAATTTCTTCAACAGTTGGCCTATCTCCAGTATTTCTGATTTTTTCATGATTTGTTTCATCAGTATCACTTTGACGTTCAAATAAAATATTTGTTCCATTTTCATCTTCATTCCCATCCATACCAGATGTTTCACCATTTGCATCTACATCCATTTCACGATCCGAATTAGAATCGAGACATTCACGTACTTTTGTTGCTTCTTCCATTAATGACTTCAAATGAGCAAGTTGTGCTTTCATAGCTTCTAATTCAGCAGCTTTGTCTTTTCCAAAATTTCTTGAAGAATTTCTCCTTGAAGATTTTCCTTGGATAATTCCTTCAGAACTCTAAATATAAAAAACATAACTATATGTATCACTCTGAATAAAATTGAATAAAATTAATAAAATAAATTAATAATAAAAAAAATGTACTGACACAACTGCCTCTATCAGACATCTCTACAGCTTGTAATTCTGCTACAAGATGATCCATATTTTTTTTCTTTGTTTGAAGTTGAGCCAATTTTCCCCTTAATGCAGCTGTTTCAGATTCAAGTTGTTCAATATTCATAGGTAATGGTAGTGCTGAACCAATTGAATTTTGATTTTCTTGTTGTAAAAGAGCTTGTTGAGCTTGACGTGCTTCATTTAATCTTTCTCTAACACGTAATTGCATTCCAACTAAACTAGCTTGATGTTCTTGCAGTTGTGCAAGTTTTCTTTGGGATTCCTCCATCTTCTTACGTAGCTCCATTTCTCTACTTACATCATTTTCTTCTATTTCCTCTCTATTATTTTCACCATTCTAATAGATAAATAATTTAAAATAATTATTATTGATTCTCTTGTTAAAAAATAATATAAATGCATAAAATTAATAAACATAAAATATGATTTATAGATTTCAAATTTAAAGAAGCATGCATAAAAAATTATATATATAACTTTTATAGTTTAGTAAATAATAATTCTTGAAGTTCATTAACCTCACAAAATATTCCATGATTTTGATATTGTTCCAAGAGTTTAGTTAATTTTCTTTCACTGTCATGAAGATCCTCTACCATTCTACTCAACTTCTCATTTTGGGCTTGTGCACGCTACAGTACAATTATATAGAAAGAAAAATATTCAACTTATGAAAAAAAGGAAATATTATATTATGATTAATATTTATACTTACAGGATCACTGGATTGATTCAATGAATCCATCATAGTTGATGTAACTCTGATATAATCTCTAATTTGATTTAAACGTGATTCTACTTGACTTCTATCAGGCTGCAAAACAAACATTAAATAAAAATAATAATTTATTAATTTAAATAAAATAAAAAAATTAAATAAATAAAATCATAAATTAAATATTAAAGATTATTTTACCATTTTATCAACATTTGAAGGTTTTGTTCCTTGAAGTCTTGGAGGAGATTGAGTTTGAGAATCAATTGGTGGAACCATCTTCTGCCAATGTGAATATTCTTCTGCACTATAATTATATGGTTGTCGACTACTAAATGATACTAGAATAATAATTTTTTAGTTATTAACAAACTTTATAAAAATTAAAATATAAAAATAATTTAATATATACCAAATTCAGGTATATCTTGATAAGAACTAGATAGTGCTGAAAAAACTGATCTTGTGTTACTATTCTTTGTTATCCTTGAATGTTCCTGTTCCACAACTGGTTTCCAATCCAACTGATACTTACATATAATTTATAAAAAAAAAATCAATTAGATATATAAATAATTATTTGTATTTTTTAGAAATGATGAGTGAAATACTAAAACTCTACTGTCTCAAGATAGAATTGTATCTGGATATGTATTCTTAGAGAGAACTTCCCCACTATTCAGCTATCTATTAATAGATTATCTTTTAAACTACTATATACAGATTGCTATACAAAGTTTTCATTTGGAAAGTTCAAGTTACAGTTAATTTAATATATTATATTTAATCTATAATAAAATTTATGATATTGAATTATTATTTAACAATAGATTATTCCTTGAGATTTTAAGTGAAAATGTTATTATATTATAATTAAATTATAATAAAATTATTTTAATTTGTTAAAACTTATTTTTAATTTTTTATTTTTTAATAAATATTTTAATATAAGATATTATATAAATTAACATTAAAAATAAAAATTATCATTCATATTTTTATATTAGTTTACCAAATTGTTAGAGTGCTGTGCATATCCATGATAAGCAGAACGGATTGCAAATTGATTAGCAGCAGATCGTTCTCTATTTCTATCATTTCTTCTATTGCTTTTTGGGAGTGTGCCTGTGCTGCGTGAACCATCATTAACACCGGGCGACATATTCTTTGCACAAATATTCTTACACTCTTGAAAAAGTATCTTTCTGGTTGTTGGCTGTTCACAGTTAACTTCGTTGCACAATTTTAATTGCAATGCAATTTTTAAAAAACGAGATTTTATTAGAAAAAAAATATCAATTACCTGCAAGTATTATAGAGCCGATTGTGCGAAAAGATGCATTTCAAATAAATAATGCACGACTGACTCAGAAACCGTCTCGATAAGGCGGAAATGTAAAAGTATGAATTGGTATTCACGAGGCTCTTGCGTCAAAATACTTGGCAGGCTAATAAAAAGAATTAGGTACTATAAATAAATTAGGCCATTGACGTATTTACTACGATGATTTTAAGAATATATCGATTATAATTTCAAAATCACTCGTAGTTACTTCGTAGATGCGGCCATTTTTAAATACTTCTTTGACATGTCTAGTAAATATAAATTGCATTAACAAAATCTAGCGCTTAGATTTATTGTTTAAAAATTGTTTGTATGAAAATATGTTTATATTAATATTATAATATATTGCATTAAAATTTTTTTTAATTTATATACATAGTATATTTTAAAATAGATATTAATATTTACGATTAATATTGATTAAAAAAATATATCATTTTTTTTATATATAAAATATATAATATATATTATGAAATATATAAAATATTATTTATTAATAATTTTCATAAAATTATATTTTATTATATTTTGTATTTTTTAAAAATGACAAAATTTATCAAAGTTAATATTAATAAATATAAAATTTATTATTTATTAATATTAGTTAACGTTTAAATTTAAAAAATATTTCTATTAAATTTATAATATCGATATATTAATATTTAGTTGCTAGATATTTTTATGTTATCGTAGAGAGCGCTTGCACTGACATATAACGACATCTAACAACGAAAATGTAACTAATCTGAGCGCATGGCGCCATGATACTTGTAGAGGGACGTTTCGCGCCCATGGCCTGGGGGTTAATAATAAATAACCGATTCCATCACATGTACTTTACTTCTACGTGCTTTACTTCTAGTCCTTAGAATCTAGGCAGCGCCTATGACAGGCGACGTAGATCTTGATAGTGTCGCATATGCGGCTAGCATTTCTTTGAAGTATCGTCTTCGAACTACGAATTCGTGCAGATTTCTGAAACGTTTCAAAAAGAAAGAAAAAGTCAAAGATTAAAAGTAAGCTCGACAGGATCCGTTGTATTGACACTGACAATCAGTTGACTATAGTTGGATATCATATGTTTTTGTTAAGGTTAAGTGTAAGACGTTTTCTTTTATACCACTTTCCTTGGGTGCGAAACGAATATCTAGTGGTTATAATTTGTGTGTTAGTGCATGCTGTGTAATTTTCTTGGAGTTTGCTTGGATTTATCTTCTAACGCTGTGAAATGCTGACAAGCTGGCAACATGCATATGACAGCATAGTTGATACGGACATACGGTTTAGCACCTGTAAGTATACCTTAACATTTTATTCTCTTATTCTAAAATGTACATAATATTAGAGGTTATATTATATTGTAATTATAAATGTTACAACATTATTATTTACATTTTGTTAAGAATAAACTGTATACATTTTGTAAAGAATAATAATTAGAATACAAATGTAAATGAATAATATTTATTCATAAATTTTATTATTATATACACAATGGAAATATGAATTATTATGTATACATTTTTTACATTATATAAATTTAATATCCAATTTTAATTTATGTTAATATTCCATTTAAAACATTATATTTTCATTCAACGTTTTCATTGTATAGTGGTGCAAATAAGAATTATTGAAAAAATTTATATATAATTTGCTTTATGCAGTTATGAATTTATTTATTTCTGAATATAATTATTTAATATTAAAATCATATATTTTATCAATCTATCATATAGTTTTTCACTTATAATTTTTTTTCTATGCTTTCAAATAGGATAGTGAATATGTTAGAAATCTATCGTTCATGAAATATGATTCAAACTGGGAGCGTAATTATACTTAATTCAAATTGAAATCTTATTTGACTCGATATTACACGTGTTTATGTCGTGTAAGTACATCATCTTTAATTAAAATAACGATTACCCAAGGACGAAACAATTATTCACAATAAAAATTATTTTCTCGATGCTTTATGTATATCAACGCCATCGACAATGTTAGTAAGATTGATATATGTAACTATATTTATATAATTTTCACGCGAATAAGTTGAGCATTGCACTGCTGTTTGACTACTTGTTGCATAATGCATCGATTTAGGTGACCTAACCTAACTATACAACGTCTTTATGCACTTGCTTCTGTTTGCATTACACGTGTATGCTCATGAAACAATTGCATGACGATAACTGTCGCGCGACACCCGGTATATATACTAGTAGTAGTATTCCATTATATGAAAAGTCGATAGGTTTTATTTCTTTCATTCAACAATATGGACTAATGGCCTTGCTATAATTTTGCGAATGATCAATAATATGCGGTTAGCGTGTTAATACTGAAAACTAGGTTCTATCATCTAACTTTCTTTCTCTTTGTTTTTGAATCATCAAAATGTCATTGATTTCGTTAAATATATCTTTAATTGATTTTCATATTTTTTCTTATGTAACAATGATATAAAATATATATAAAATATTTTTTATAATTAGAGTTTTTGTTTTAAGGTTGTTTAAATATTACTCTTGTACTAGTTTATTTCGACAGTCCATCAACGCATGCATTTTGTTTAACTAGTCTATGAAATGCGGAACAAATTTTCTCTCACGTGAACTGCATATGTCGCTGAACATCAGCCAGCTTTTCATTTCGTTCGTCCCAATTTCATAGAGTTATTTTTGAGAAGAATGGTTTTTCACAAATCCATGTCAGTCTCATAAAAAACTAGTTGGCAAAAATTCCATCTCCAATCGTAAAATTATTTCCTATTGGATAATGTTTAAACAAATTGCACCAACTGATTATATTGTAAACTTTTTTGAAAGAAATTTGAAAGAAAATCTGAAATTTCTGAATTAAAATGAATTAAAATGATGAATTTTTTATTTTTATCAAAGATTTATTTATTAAAGTATTACATCTTCAAAATAATGCTATTAAGAATAAAGACGATTTTACTTCGATTTTACTCAATTTCGATTTTACTCAATTTCATTTTGAATATCAATTTGAAATCTACATCAACAGGTAGCTTGATATTCGTAATGGAACGAACATCATTTCGATCACGTGTACGGAACAGATGTTTCCAAAGACAACCTGTTTCAGAACAGTTTGTAGATACATGATCACGTTGACAACCAAAATTCAGCCAGTGCCAATTACAAAAACGTGATTTGGAAGATTGCCTACATGCGTGATTAAAATGCAATTCACTAGCGCCAAAATGTTTCTAACGTTGTATTTGCGATAAATAAATATTCAATCGAATTTTTTCAACATAATATTTTCATAATACGATATTTTATAATATTATAATTAACATGTTAGTCATTATGTAATTATCTTTGTCTAAATATAGCATTATAGAAATATTTATTTAGAACAATTTATTTTCACGTTATAACATAAGAAAATGGAAAAAAAATTCTCGCTGATCTTAAACATTGATTTTTATCAATTAAAAATTTTCATTAAATAATAAGAACAATTGTCAAAGAAATACATAAATTTAATAATTTTAAATTTATAAATTTTTGACAAATAACTCCATAACATTATAATATATATATTATTATAGAATATATATATTATAATATATATTATTCTGATTTATTATATAGATGTTGCATTCAAAATGATTCAATGAGATTTCCTGATTGTAACATGAAATATTAAAAACTACTAGAGTTTGACTTCGTTGTTCCATCTATATACGAATCGAATCACTCGTGCACGATCCTTATAAATTAATCAAGAAAATCGTTTTTTTTTCATCGATTATATTACAGTTCTGTTATTTTCTTTTTTAATTACTTTCCGATTTATTGATAAGAAAAATATACTAGAATTTCGTTTTAAATAGGGTGTGGCGTAATGTGTATATCCTATAGTTCAACATCAATGTCGTGCCGATAGCAAACACGAAAGCTAACCTCATAAATAAACAGACTTACATATAACTATGTATACGCACCCATTGGACGAACCAATAGAAAGAGCCGCTCCTTCTTGTTAGACCATTCCCTCGATTATTTTTTTTCGCTTTATTTCCGTTCCAAAAAATTACACCCAATACTAATTATAGGGATCACGCGATCTTTTTCATCATATATAATTGTTTAGTAATTCCTCGATATTTATACTTCATTGTAAATAGATTCTAAAAAATGTTGAAATTTTTGTGTGATTAAATATATTCTTTTTTCGTAATTATAGATCGATATAATTTTTCTCGATGCATTCATTTATATATGGAATTTTCTGTGTAATTTAATATATGTGTGGATACATCACACTGATGCGTTGATGTAAATAATGGCAAATCATAGCCACCAAATACTGTAACACAATAAACGAAAAAAATGAAACATTTTATGTGTATAATTGTATAGTTGTGTGTAGCTTGAAAATCGATAGAAATAAAGGCACTCCGGAGGATTAACATTTTCATGGATAGGTTAAAAGTGTAATGTCCTTTGTGAATCTCGGCAATCCATTTCCGCTAAAGGGCGATTCCTGGCAATAACTTTAGATAAGAATCGATTATGTTTCTTATTACTTGTGACTTTCAAATTCTAAGTATATTGTGTAATTATATTTGAATCAATTAAATTCAATTATTCAATAATCTTTCGATCGATTTATTTCTATTATTTTAACGGTATTTAATTGTTTTTTTTATCATTTTTTACCTTTTTATATCATCATTTAGAAATGGCTATTTCGTATTATACAGGTGACAGCTTTTCTTTTCTTTGAAAAATGTTTCATGTTCATGTAATTTTTGCATTTTATCAATGATAATAATACAAACGTGCAGTTGCAGGATAGAGTGGTAATAACGCAGCGACAACATGTGCATATTGCATAGAATGTGATAAATGTGGATGCGGTGTTGACCGTGCGAAACAGATAGGATATTTAGTCTGGAATATAGGTTGCGAGTGAAGGACGATTTCGAATATCAAGGCGCATTCTTTAACCCCTTACAAAGTATAATTTAATAAATCATCTCCATATTCGTATTGGAAAATCGATTTTTAAAATATACATCATTTCTTATATGTCTATAGTGAAAGTATCAAGAGTGTAATGTAAAGAATTAGAAATTCTTTAGAAAAAGTCAAAAAAGTCAAAAATTTTTCAAAGAGAATTTTTGATGTAATTTGTCATGTAGTGTAGTATTGCAGTCGAAAAATCGTTTTGCATCATGTTACATGTTGTATAAGAATAGTATTTACTTACTAAAAATTTAATATGCTAATATATGTATTTTAATTTAAATATTATAGATAAAGTGTTAATCATTTTAATTTTAAGGGATTATTAAACATCTTTTTATTTACTTCTTAAAAATGTATAAGTTCAATTAATTTGTCAATCAATTAAGAATTTATTTTTCATTTATATTCATCTTATTGTTTTAATTTATATTAATAATTTTTTTTTATATTTATTAATGCATTCTATATAATACACAAGAAATTTTAATATATCATTACTTTAATAGATATTCATCAATTCGTTTTAAATGAAATAAGCAATAGCGAACATGATATGAATCTTTAGGTTTCTTATCGTTCTGATATGCAACAAAAATTATTTTCAAGTCTTTTATATTAACCAACTCACTTTTTATCGTGATACAAAGACCTATTTATTCATTCTATCTAATTGTTCATCACTATCAATACATACTAATTAAAACATGAAGATACGCGTGAAGAATAACAACAGTAGTTTGACGTAAATTCACTTCCTGAAACTGCTACACAACGGAAACTATTTTCTAATCTATTTATAAAATTTCCAATAATTTTCATATACTTATCAGAATATCCGATTTATTTTATTAATTATATTCTATTTTATATAAATGTTCGTATTTAATCATCAGTTTACAGAAATTTATTAAAAATACAATAATACATACTTAAGACATGATTTTATTGTCTTAATTTGGCGATCGAATGATGACTAAGTCGAAGCGAGTAAATGGCAGGCGCAGAAGATCGTAGGCGGTTTATATCTGGGAGAGACGAGAGCCGACACGTCTGTCAGGTAATAGTGTACGTCGTCCCGTCGACATGGAAACCCGCGTTCAGGAAGGGAGACGAAGTAGTACACGTGTACGCGTACTAGTTTTAGGGACATCGAGAAAAATGGAAAAGTTAATGGACAATAAATGCGCGTTGCACATATTTGACAATATTTTATCGCATAAAACGTCCTTGTTAAACTAATCACGAATTTATTACCGTTATCTAACTTGTGGTATTCAGCGATTGGTTATTTCGAGGAACAGTGCTTCGATACGTATTTTATTGGTTCGCGATACTTATTGTAACTTAAAAATGATGTTTCAATCGTTTTTAGAAATTTTTAAACATGATAAAAATTGAGTTATCGAAATATATTTTTTAAATTTCAAATAAAAGATAAAGATTATCGATAAAATATTGAATTATCTTCCTGTGAGAGATATTATATTATAGATTAGATGCGGAAAATAAAAGCATATGAAGTGAATACGTGAAGCTTATCAGCATAAAATTTTCTAATGTGCCGTGGTGCCTCTTGCCAGACGAGATTCTTATCTGAAATAAGGATTTTATGACAATTGGCCATGCCAAGAAAATATTTTCCTGAAAATTTGGCCGTTGTTTGAAAAATATATACCGATTTTCTTACTACGTTTATGGTTTCACGTATATAGTTTCATCAATCGCTATTAATATTTTTTTAATTTTTTTTTTCGAAAATTTTATTTAATATGCTTAATTAGATAATACATCGTTGCATCATGATTACGTTAATTTTGATTAGATTAACGCTATAAATTTCAAGTGTTTTGATTACTTGACGTAGGTAATCTGTATCATAGTACGAAATTTCCATTCGTAGTAGTATAAATAAAATCGATTATTTTTTTCTTTTTTTATCGCAGTTTTGATGTATTCCATTCGTATATTATAGTTCATAAAAATCTATCATATATAATAGTGTGTTCATGTATGAATTAATAAAATCAATCGGTTGGAATTACGATCGTTTCATTGATCGATTCTTGTTTATTTTTTTCGTTGCAAATATTTGATACCAAAGTGCGTAGATGGCAACTTCAAAAAAATGCAAAAAATCTTATTCTCTATAAACGATTGTTTGCATGGTTTTTAATAAAAAAATTTTTTTATATTTTTTATTATCTTTATATTTTAATCGATAATAGCATATCTATGTTGTGTAAAAAAAATTGAGTGATTTTATCGTGGTAATGATTAATTCTTCAAGAAAGAATTGAATTCTTATGTGACGGAGAACTTCACAAGTATAAACATATTTTATATATAGTATTTGCTACAATACGCTATTGATAAAGTGTTTTTTTTATCGATATATTACAGACTGTGCGTACCTCGAAATCAGTGTGAACCAATCGCTTTCTTCGCAACAGCTTAAAAATAAAAGAATAGTTTTAAAAAAATAAAATGATTATATATTTATACGTTTTTTGACGCGATAAACGCAATCTATTTGTGGTAAATTTATTTATTATTATATATTTTATTTCTCGAGTTGTTTCGAATATTTTACTCCGCTGCAGAAAAATTGCGATATCTGTTCTACAACTTGTCGTCTGTCTAGAGAATAGAGTTACTACTGAATCTTAGTTGAATAAGTGACTGTGACGAAACTGAAACTTTTGATGTAGAGATTCATTACATGGATTGTATTATTTTTTTTTTCCGTTAAACTCAAATTGCGTTAGTTTGTTCGTATAATGTATCGAAGTGCCTTGCTAATATAATAGATAAGATTAAATTATCGATAAATCGTTAACAGTTTTGCTTAAAATTACAACAAAGTGTGTGTTGTAACAAAGATTAGACGAAATGAATTATTTTTACATGCACACGTTAGCAAAGGCCTGGTAAAACGTGATACAAAATTTCGAAGGCTGAAATTCGTGAACGCGGTCGAAGAACGACCGTCAGAAAACCACCTTGGCCTACTCGATTAAAAGTAGTGAGTAACTGGACACTAGTATCTGAATATTACTTTAAGATATATTTTATAAATAAAAAAATATATAATAGAAAATTATTTAGAACATAATAATGATTAGGAAGGAAAATCAATAATTAAAAAAAATTAATTTTATAAGAATTTTTAAATATTTTTTTCTTTTCATTTTATTTTTTTTTTTGTTAAGAAAAATTTTTGTTGCATCATAGATTGTTTTTTTAGTATTATTCCATTACTATTGGAATTATCATTTTTCTTTTAATAGATTTATTGATTCACTAATAATCATATAATCATATAGCAATCATCATGCTGCTAGTAAATTGCTACACTCATACAAACGTAAATTATCGTATGACTGTTAATTATCGCAAAACCTAATCAGTGATGAATTTGTACACATCCAAGACATCAATATTTGCTTTCGATTTTAGTGTACAAAGTTAACATTTTTAGAACATCCAGAAAATATAAGAAATATAAGATGAAATTAATCATGATTGTGTTAATTCTTGTTATATTCCAGAACATTTTTTTGTATATTAAATGATTCATATCAAATGATTAATATCATTAATCAGTAAATAAATTTTGACATAAATCAGAATTATGAAAGTATGGTTCTTTAGAAACAGTTTAAAATTTAAAATATATATGTTTGTATTATGTAGGTATTTTTAACATCAAAGACATTACATCATCGTGGATTTCGTTCGTCAAAAACTATTATATTTTATTACTTGATCGTAATCATCACTTACCCTCGTTTCGTTTTCAAAATATATTTGTGTAATTTTAAGTATTTGCTATATTATCGCATACCGCAGAAGAAAACGCATTGTTGAATTGGGATCTGATCCAAAAGTTATGCCAACTATATTAATTCAAAAGTTAGAGAATTTGAAATAATTTACTGTAATATTATCTTATTATATAAAAAACATAGCCGATTTCTAATGATCGATATTACTCATTACTTAAATAAAATTTAATTTTAAATATTTTTTAATTATTATTTATAGGATAAAAATTCGAATTTTCATTCTTTCATGTTTGAGCAATTGAATCATTCAAATTTTTAACAAATTTTTTTCTCGTAACCAAACAGTCATCATAGATATTATTAGTTGCACTAATACATTTGATCTAATTTAGGTTCCGCTACGTTCAATGCAACCAAGTGCCAGGGGGAACCCTCAGGTTCCCAGTCCTGGCTCATTACGTCCATTTACACCGCCGGATCTTTCTTCTATACCTCATATGGACAGTACACCCCCACAAAACAGTGGTGTTCGTAACAGTTCATCATCTGTGACTGATCGAACAAACGATGGAATCCAAGAACAATCCGGGCCTTATATCATTGGTAGTCCTATCGACCTCGGTAACATCGATAATGTCGATAATATTGGCCTACATATAGATTCCCTGGCGACTGGACATCGAAGGACACGTGAACACATCGAACTGCAAGAAGCTGGAGCGCACGAAACGAGTTCTGAAGGTAAGATGTCTTCATGCTTTGTTATTTTATATAATTAAGGACTGAAAAGATTTTTTTTGTCAGTAATGGAAGTAGCATATAGAACGTAATTTATAAATGCTTGTGAAACGGTTGTAATAATTAGTAACAAGGTTTATTTTTTGTTGTCGTAAAAAAACATATAAAAATAATATAGATCGATAGAAGTTATACCTATGATTTTAGATACCTAGTATTGGATTAACATACATAATGCAACTTTGTATGGCACTTAAATATGGCAGTACATTTAAATGTCAAGATATTTTGTGTTTTCGATATTGTCATACGTACTGTTAGATATTCGTGATAAATATTTCAAATATTGCTATAATTTAATTTTTTAAATTTACATTTTGATATATTATAAAAAATTGAAAGTAAGATTACCGGTCTTTATACATATTTTGCACATGCATTGTTATATTTCCATCAAAATAGCATGAACGGATTGTCCAATAAGGTATAATATCAGTGGTGCGGAGCTACCTCCAACCCACCCCAGCGGAAGTGTCCTTGGCCTATAGTCTACGAGCACCGAGGTTGTTTATTGATGCAACCTTACATATCTCCGTATTCATGGAAAATGCTGGTGGAGTACAGCACGGTGCTGACGCCAACTTGTTGCCGGTAGCAGGCGCATGCGTTTTTGGGGTAACACGTGTACAGGGCTGTCACATTTTGCGGGCACCCTCTTGATAGTAGTGTACTAAACCATTTAGGAACCTGTGTTTTTAGTAATCCAAGTAACAACTTTTGGTATTATATTATATTATACATTAGAAATATCATATAGATGTAAAATATTATATAGGTATATTCATTTATTAAATTATATTCCTATTCGAAATTATTCTTTTTTTAATTATATTAATATTTGTTGTGCTTTCTCATTTATTTTCAAATATTATGAACAAAATTTGAATATTAATGCAATCCAAATATCTAGCACATATAAATTATTCAATCGTCGACAATCTAGTGGACTATATATACCGCGGTAGAAAAGCCGATGATGATCAGTGCCACCTACGAAGTAAATTCAGTTCTCCCGTGTAAATTCGCAGGCGCGATGTGGTTACGGAAATTCTTGATTCGAGAATTTTTATGAAGTATTTTTGGTTTTAAATTATAATCTTATGTAGATTAATTTATAAGCTTATGTTATACATTCGCGTTTCCATTAGATCGGTAGGGGTGTGGCGGTAAGCGCGAGGCTTCTGTCACGATGACGCAGATATGTAGTTTGTTTAACCGATCGTTATTTCGAGTAGAAAAGTGTTCGATCAGTGTATGTTAACTACTGTTTTATGAAAAGAGTGTGTAGATTTTCATAAAATATTGATTGCCTGTATTACTTTTTTTGTATTAATTAAAGAAATTTGTTACCGCTTATAAAATGTCAAAATCATACATTAGTTTTTTCTTATTTTTTTATTATAATAATTGAAATATTCATATGTATAATATATTTTAATTTTTTTTAATTTAATATTGATTAATTGTTTTTATTTCTCAATCATTATTGATATTTAATTTAATAATCTCGTCACATCAAATAGGTTGTCTTTTTATTTTTTACTTTGATATTGTTCAGCTACTTGTTACACAACTGTTTTAGTAGTAGTGACGTGCGATGGATAATATATCACCGGAAGTAATTATTACATGATTGGTATTGAGAAACCATAGGATATATGAGCTCAAATATTTTGCGTACACGCATGTTGTAGAATGATGTATGTGCATTATCAAGGAATAATCATTCAATATTCATGTCTAATGTTTCATATTATACACTTTTTATTGTATATATATTAATATGATCTGAATGTAGTAGATATTGGTAACACGGATATATTTAATATTTTCAAAGTATGTACAGAAATTCTCAAAGTATTACATCAAGATATTTATTATTCACAATATAGATATATTTGGCTGTCCTTGAAAAAATATTTTTACGAATTTCACATAAATTATCAAATATATTTAAAAATGTATATATTTGTAAATTTTTTAAAAATTTAACTCTATAATAAATATATAATTAAAATTTTTTAATAATATGATAATTTTATATTATTATTTTATATATTATAATTTTATCATCAATGTTTTGTTTTAGTATTTTGTAGTAATTATAAAGTTATGAATTAATATAAATTTATTTTAAAATCTTGAATATATAAAAATTAAAACGAAAATTTAATGATAATTTTATGTTAGTGATATTCGAATAATTTTTTATTATTCAACATTTTTACTGATAAAGAAGTTTTATATAGAATTTCTTTTTAAATATGCAATTATAACCTCTAAGATTATAGTACAATCGAATTGTGTCATTTTCTTAAATATCGTAATGAAATCATTAAGTTTTTTTTCAACAAATCAAGTTTGGATTTTATAATCCAAATTCAAATTATCTTTAATATAATTTAAGATTAGAAAGAAATCCAAAATATTAATAGTTTTATAACCTATGAATATTACATTATCATTAATGGAATATCAGACATGTTAGATTTCGTTCATAATAGTATTTTATTACGCGTTAAATATGATTCGAAGTGCCAAAGACAAGTAAAGTGAAAGACATTTCATTTAATAAACGACAACATGGAAATAGCTGGTACAAAAGTGATACAATGGTTCAACGAACTCAGATCCCGGTTTCATCTTTATCTATACGCTCAAAATCGTAAGTCAAATATTAAAAAGAAATATATATATAAAAATAATTTATGTTTTCATCTATATATATCATATTTATATATATAAATGAACACATGCGAATTATTTTTACATTATTGAAACGGGATAAAAAATATTTTTGAAATTATTGAAAAAATATTAATAATGATGAAATGAAAAAGTATTAATAAATTTTTCATACAAATCATACTTTAAATTGTTAAGCTTTAAATGAAAAAGAAAATATTAGAATAACATAAAATGATATATATTTTATCGTAGTTGGTCCTGTAAGGGCGGAAAATGGTGGGTCCCAAGGTGACGATCAACGGTCTTCACGTCAACACGATAGCAGTGAAGAGAGAGTAGTTTTCATAAATGCTCCTCATCAACCAGCGAAATATAGAAACAATCATATTACTACTGCGAAATATTCATGTCTTTCGTTTATACCTATGTTCTTTTTGAACAATTTCGTCGATATAGTAATTGTTTCTTCTTGTTCATCGCTCTAATGCAGGTATTAAATTTCATCTTTTTTTTAAACATATATATTTTTTTTTTATTATTTTTTTTTTTATGTAAATGATATTTTGTTTTTGATTTTAGCAAATACCGGATGTATCACCTACCGGTCGATATACAACTTTGGTTCCATTAATTTTTATTCTTAGTGTATCTGCATTAAAGGAAATAGTCGAAGATATTGTAAGTACCTAATTATATATTATTTTCTACTATTTAATACAAAATATTATAATATTTTAGAAAAGGCATAGAGCAGATGATGAAATTAACATGCGTGAAGTAGAAGTTTTAAGAGATGGTCATTGGCAATGGATACAATGGAGGAAAATTGCTGTTGGTGATGTGGTTAAGGTTGCACCTATTTTCTCCAAGATCATGGATGTGGTAATTATTAGTATTCCTGCTAGAATCGCTTTCTTTAATATGCATAGGTCCGCAACAACAATTTCTTTCCTGCTGACTTGATCTTATTATCATCATCGGAGCCACAGAGTATGTCTTTCATAGAGACTGCCAATTTGGATGGAGAGACCAATTTGAAAATACGACAGGCCCATCCTGACACTGCCAGTCTCTTAGATACTGCTGAATTAATGAATTTTCGTGCAAATATTCAATGTGAACCACCAAACAGACATTTATATGAATTTAATGGAGTATTGAGAGAATCTAATAAACAGTATGAATTTTAAATTTGTTATAAAAATTTGAAAAAGTTTATAAATGCAAAAAATATAAGAAATGTAAAATTCAATTTTTAGATCTGTACCTTTGGGACCTGATCAAGTATTGCTTCGTGGTGCAATGCTAAGAAATACACGTTGGGTATTTGGTGTAGTAATTTACACAGGCCATGATACAAAACTAATGCAAAATAATACTACAACTGCACCTTTAAAAAGATCTACTTTAGATCGACTGACCAATACACAAATACTCATGTTATTCTTTATACTTCTTTTGCTGTGCCTTCTATCCTCAATATTTAATGTTCTTTGGACTAAAGCTAATAGTGATGGATTATGGTATTTAGGTTTAAATGGTAAACTAACTTATTTTTTTTTTAATTAAATTAAATTAAATTTTGTTTTAAATTATTTCAAAATTATATAATAATTATTTGTATATGTTTCAGAGGAAATGACTAAAAATTTTGCTTTTAATCTTTTAACATTTATTATTTTATTTAATAATTTAATACCTATTTCATTGCAAGTTACATTGGAAGTAGTGAGATATATTCAAGCTACATTTATTAACATGGATATAGAAATGTATCATGCAGATACAGATACACCAGCAATGGCACGTACAAGTAATCTTAATGAAGAACTTGGTATGGTTAATTATGTTTTTACTGATAAAACTGGAACTCTTACAAAAAATGTAATGGAGTTTAAACGATGTTCAATTGGTGGCAAGATATATGAGTGAGTATTTTAAGTAATATCATTTACTATATTTCAACTTATGATTTAAAAAAATGTTTTATAGTTTACCAAATCCAAATTCAAACGGTGATGAAGATGGTATTAGCATCAATAGTGAATTAATTAAAGATATTATTGAAGGAAGATCAATACAAGATCTTCCTCGTCCTGTTGATAAAAAGGCTGCAAACCATGCAAAAATAGTACATGAATTTATGATTATGCTTTCTGTGTGTCATACTGTTATTCCCGAGAAAATTGACGAAACTATTATTTATCATGCTGCATCTCCAGGTAATGTTATAGATATTATTATATTATCAAAATTTCTTTAACATTTTTTTTAATTTAGTCTTTGATAGTCATTTATAATTTAATTTTATATTTATTTATTTAAATAGATGAAAGAGCGCTGGTAGATGGAGCACGTAAATTTAACTATATATTTGATACTCGAACACCTGCTTATGTGGAAATAGTAGCTCTGGGTGAAAGATTTCGTTATGAAATATTAAATGTAATAGAATTTACCTCGGCTAGAAAAAGAATGTCAGTAATTGTGAAAACACCAGAAGGAAAAATCAAACTTTTTTGTAAAGGAGCTGATTCTGTTATTTATGAAAGATTGTGTCCAGTTTCTTTAGAGAATAGTGATCCTGAACAAAATAGTTTGGATGATTTTCGAGATATAACTTTAGAACATTTGGAAGCATTTGCATCTGAAGGTTTAAGAACACTTTGTTTTGCTGTTGCAGATATACCTGACAGTTTTTATCAGGTGCATATTTTTTATTATTTGCTTAAATATATTATATTTATTTATAATAAAATTGATGCAATATTTTTTTTTTTAATAGTGGTGGCGTGAAACTTATCATAATGCAATAATTACTATAGGAAATCGTGAAAACATGATCGAAAATGCCGCAAATCTTATTGAAACAAAATTAAAATTATTAGGTGCAACTGCTATTGAAGATCAATTACAAGATCAGGTATTTATAATATTTATTTTTCTGTATTCATTTTTAGAAGTGAATAATTGAAATAGAATTCATAATGTTGTAGGTACCAGAAACAATACAAGCTCTTTTACAGGCTGATATTAATGTATGGGTATTGACTGGTGATAAACAAGAAACTGCTATAAATATTGGCTATTCTTGTAGATTAATTACACATGGAATGCCATTGTATATAATTAATGAATCGTCTTTAGATGTAAGAGAAAATTGAGAATAATATTCTTTATTTTTTTATGTTTTTTTTTCTTTTTTTAAGAAAATTTTTCAAATTTTTCAATATTTTTTACAGAAAACAAGAGAAATTATAATACAGCGTTGTCTTGATTTTGGAATTGATTTAAAGTGTCAAAATGATGTAGCTCTTATCATAGATGGAAATACATTAGAATATGCATTATCCTGTGATATTAGAATGGATTTTCTAGATTTATGTTCATCTTGCAAAGTTGTTATTTGTTGTAGAGTTTCGCCAATGCAGAAAGCTGAGGTGATTTTTATTCAAATATATTTAAGTTTTTATATAATTTTTTTTATTATTTTTTAACAAAAATAATAATCTAATAGAGATTTTTAGGTGGTTGATTTGATTACAAGTAATAAAAAAGCTGTAACACTTGCGATTGGAGATGGTGCAAATGATGTAGCAATGATCCAAAAAGCTCATATTGGTGTTGGTAAGATTATTATTATTCATTAACTGTCTAACAAACTGTCTAACTAACAAAAGAGATATATTATAAATTTTTATTATTTCTAGGTATTTCTGGTGTTGAAGGTCTTCAAGCAGCTTGTGCTTCAGATTATTCTATTGCACAATTTCGTTTTCTAAAACGCTTATTATTTGTTCATGGATCATGGAATTATAGTAGGATGTGTAAACTTATACTCTACTCATTTTACAAAAATATTTGTCTTTATGTCATTGAATTATGGTTTGCTATTTATTCTGGCTGGAGTGGTCAAATTCTTTTTGAGCGGTGGTCGATTGGTCTTTACAATGTTGTAAGATATTTATATTTTAACATTAAAATATAAACTATTTTACATGTATATATATTATGTATATATATTATTTACATTAGGTATTTACGGCAGCACCTCCATTAGCTATGGGACTTTTTGATAAAGTATGCTCCGCGGAAACTCATTTAAGTCATCCAGCATTATATGCTACAAAAAATACTGGAGAATCATCGTTTAATATTAAAGTAATATATTTTTTCTTATTGTATTTGATATTATATTTTTATATTACAGACTTTATATTATTTGCACAGGTATTTTGGATATGGATTGCAAATGCTTTAATTCATTCATCTCTTCTTTATTGGTTATCACTATTGGCTCTAAAAGAAGGAATAGTATGGGCAAATGGCCGAGATGGTGGTTATATTGTTTTAGGAAATTTTGTATACACAGTATGTATCAATTGTTAATGAAATCAATTATCAAATAATTACATTGTTATTTATTTATTGTTAATAGTATGTTGTAGTGACGGTATGTGGAAAAGCAGGGTTAATAATTAACTCTTGGACATGGGTCACTCATTTGGCAATGTGGGGATCTATTATGCTTTGGTTCTTATTTATTTTAATATATAGGTAATTTTCTCAATATATATTCATTTTATCTTTATGAAAAAATTATAATATTCAATTATATTAAATATTAAATTATAATATTTATTAATATAATTTCAGTAATTTTTGGCCTATTCTAAATGTGGGTGCAGTAATGTTAGGCAACGATAGAATGTTATTTTCTTCACCTGTATTCTGGCTGGGTTTGGTACTTATACCATCAGCAGTACTACTTATGGATATTACGGTTAAGGCGTGAGTATACATGCATTAAATATTTTGACATATAATACTTAAATATATTAATAGATTTCGGAACATGTCTTTTTAGAGTCAAGAATACAGTTTGGAAATCCGTAACTGCGGCAGCTAGAGAAAATGAGATTCGAAAATCTGACCCCGGAGATGTATTCAATAGTCACGACTATAGAAGCTCGTAAGTTTTTTTTATATATTGTATTTTATAAAAATTTATTAGTTGGAAATCAAAATTTCGTGATGAAGCAACGCTTTTAATAATTCATATCGATAACTTTTAAAATATTAATATTTTTGCAAGAATTTATAAATTCATATATATTCAAACATATAATAATACATACATATATATATATATATATATATTGCATGAAAAATTAGATTATTAAAAACAAAATTATTAAATAATGTTTAATATGCATGGCTTGTTGAATGTAACATATTAATAAAACTTCACAGTAATTCGCTTCACAGTAAAATAACATTAATGAATTTTATGAACATTCATTATTATGATAATAATACTAACAATTCTCATAAAATTTTCAAAAATAAGTAATCACTTAAATGCATGCATATAATACAGTATACAGTTTCTTAAAAAAGATATTAATTTAATTTGCTTCAGTAGCATCTATTTTTTTTTTTAAATCAAATGATGAATTATTATATTAGATATCGTACAACAATCATAATTAAAATTTTAAATCATCTTAATTGAAAAGAGAAATTATAACAGGAAGTATTCGAAGAGGCGATGGTTAATTCGGTGTTGGACCTCAATCTGGTCGCCACGAAGGCGAAATAAGATCAGAATCTTCCCGATTGCGCTCGTGGCACGGGATTTATGGTTCACTAACCATGCAGAGCATGTTTCAACTGCACCATTTCGTATTCCATGACCTTAACGAATTCACGTTTCCTGTCCACTTTGAAATCCGTAAGCATTTCGATGTTTTTATTCTTACCAATTTTCCTAGTTTTCCTATGTTATCCTATTTTCACTCTTGTGTTTAATTTTTTATTTTTATTATATTGAGTATTATATTTATAGATTATTATGAATGTGCTGTTCTTTTATATGTAACATATATGTAGTATAAAATTTATGTACTATGTTATATATAAAACATGTACATTTATATCTATAAAAATAAGATGTATTCTTTGTTTTCTTAGAAAATTAGAATTATTTAATAAATTTAAACATCATATATTAACAAAAAAAAAGTAAAAATATTCATTAAATGTTTTTATTTAACCATACATTTTTTGTATCATTTATATTAATCCATATTTTTATTAATATGCAATTCATTATTTTTTAATTTCATATTATTCTCTATTATTATCTTATCCTCTAATATTAAGTGAGATTTTCTTTCTAATTTATTAAATGATTTGCAATATGGGCTAATGACTATTTTATGTGTATAAGTAGCAGTATAAAAGCATAAAAACAAGATTTCCTTAAAAATACCGCGCATATGAACGTTCTAATTTTAGTCATTTTGTATTTTGAATTTGGTTTACGATTAGATTGAAATAAAATGTAATCGTAAAGTAGTAAATAATACGAACAGATGAATATTTTGAGAGTAAATTAATTCTCTAGTTGTCAGATCACAAAAAGAAAAAAAAAATCACGTCAGTATGAAGCAAAAACTTTCTTCGTTAATGCGGTTTTCTGGTATGTTTTATTCGCGGTATCCCGTGAAGGCCTGTGCATGCCATCGCCGAGCTCGCGAGGTGTAAGTACCCTAAGTAGTATATAACTCGTAGTGCTTTTGTAATTTTCTATATTTCTAAACAAAAGCACTGCTAATTAATCAAATTGCATGATTGTTCAACGTTTCGCTTGCGATGGCACCTAGTACGAATAAATTATTAATTGTATGTGTATCACGAATCTTTTAATATTTTTACTTTAATATTACAACTTTAATATTTTTTTTTTTGTGTCGAAAGTTGGATGGAAATAAGTTGTGTATATCTCATAGAAGATATATCTTTCTCATATTAATATTTTAATACTTTGAAATATAATCTTTATTGTATTGATCTTGGTATTAAATATTTTTTATAGAATTATATTTTCGAGGGACGCAATTTGTATCATCCAAACTTTGATGACAAGCTTAGAAATTTTAATAGATTATAATAGATATTAGAACAACCAAAGACATCACGAATTAAAAGAATCGCACCGGTATTTGTTAATATTACAGCATCGCATGAATCATTTTAGAGATAAATAACCATTAGATAGCCAATGAAGAGAAGGTTACACGCGAAATATAGGGTTCATCGAATGTTATTGAGAGAAAAAAAAATATCGAATATGAACTATAAGGATGAGGACAACCAATCAAACGAGTCTTTCTAAAACAATTTTGAATGCACGCCTTTCCAGATTGACGGAGACAGCGCGGCTACTGAAAAACGTAAAAAGTGTTTTCACCAGGCGATCAAACGCCGCTTCCAGAGTTAATGTCGAAGTGGAACTATCACGTAAGTTATGTTATCTATTTAACGACGAGCTGCAATCGAGAGAAAGTGAAAGAAAAACAAGTACAACAATTCTTTTGTACAGATTTTTTTGTCTTCTAAGTTCATCGTTTGTATCTTCTTCACTACTAATATTTTGTTACTAACAAATGTATTTATTATTAAAGGCACGCGCTTTTATTCACGGCTTCCGCCTATTTAATATAAAGAAAAATATTCTTCAAAATAAGCAATTTTTTTCACAATATTGGCACGTGCATACGCCTTAACAGTGTACATACGCTGTGTCTATAGGTTAGTTTATAGGTTACGCACAAATAATATCCTTGTAATTTGTAAATCTTTTACTAATCTTTTACTAATCTCTTGTTCTTGTTGAACATTATCTTCAAACGTAGTTCCAAAACGTAGTTTACAAAAAAGTAGTAGTTTACAATCTAATAAATATGTTGTAATATCGATTACAGCAAATTATAACTAATCCTTTCTTCCTGCAAATTGCATGTGTTTTGATTCTTTAATGTTGTGATTAAACAGAGATTAATAGGTTGCAATCTTTGTTGTTGCACATGCTGCGCGATGCAGATGGATTTGCATTCTCTCAAGAGGAAGGAGGCTCGGTGACTCAGACGGATGTAATCAGAGCTTACGATACAAATCTTCCGAAACCTGGCGGCATGTGATCTTAATTCTACTAGCTAGAAATAGTACACAGATGTATATTCTATATATAGATCTTTTTTTCGACTGATAAAACAAAGAAAAAAAAAAAAATTCAAAAAAAATGAGTGAGAAAGAGAAGAAGAGAAAAGTTTTCCCAGGAATTCGGTACTCGCCAAGCCCTACGTAACGCCTGTCTGAATAACTCTGTTTCACGACTGATTCAACGTCTCGATCTTTCTTTCCTTGAAACAAGGAAAATCTTAACGGTTCTTAACGATGGGCCTTGTAACAAAGAGTATTAGAAAGACTATCAAACGAAAATTTTAAGGAGTAATATTCCTTTTTTTCAATCATCACTTGCAAATAAAAAAGGAAATAAAAAGATACTAATAAATATATCCTAGATCAGCGGTTCTCAACTGTTTCATAAATTTTGAAATTAAAATTTAAAAATTTCATCAAGGTATATGAATTTAAGATAGAAGATTAAAATTATTAAAAAAACAAAATCTTGATTTTTTTTTTTTTTTTATTTTAAACTATTCCGTAGTTGTTCAGAATTGAGACAACCGCATATATAATATTATGAAAATAAATTTTTGGACGATAAAAATCTTTATACAGAATTGTATATTGCGCAAATTGTCCATTATTAATTAAATGTACCACTATGATGTACCATTAATGGTATATATATATATATATATATATATATATATATATATATATATATATATAC